GCCGCACCATCCACTTCTTTGTGGTGGGCACGCGCATCGCCCGCGCCTTCTCCCGCGCGCAGGTGATGGATGCGTCGACCAACCCCCGCAGCCCCGTCAGCTTGGTGACCAGCCAGCCCTTGCACATCATGACGGGCTGGCGGCTGGTCAAGCCGCCAGCGGGCCGCCGTCGGGGGCCGCCCGACTGGCCGACTAGCCACAGCTCGGCCCCGACGCGCAGCGCGGTGAGTACAAGCTGGAGAGCGTCTGGCGCGGCTTCTCGGCTGCACGGAAGCTGATTTGCAGGGCGTCTTCGACCTGGTCGGGGAGGGCGACTTTGTCGGCCGCGGCGACTTCCCCAGGTGGGCCCGCGCCCCCCTGGCCGGCCCTGAGGCGCGCGCCCGGCCCCGAGGCGCGACGCTCGAAGGCGCGGCGCTGGGCGGCGGCCAGAGCAGGGGATCTGGTTCTGCTCGCGGGCGCGGCGCGCCAGCAGGGCTCGTGGGCGCCCTTCGCGAGCCGCTGGCGCAGGCTGCATCGGCGCCTCGCCCATGGCGCAGCTCGCTGGTGCGCAGCCCTGGGCAACGATGGGGCAGGCCCAGTCCACCGGGAGCTCCTGACCCTCGCGGCCCCGCAGTGGGCGGGGGGGCCCTGCGCGACGACGCTCCTCGGGCCATGGCCTCGCAGCGCAGGGCCGCAGCTCAGGCCTTCGAGATCGAGCAGGGCCTGAAGAACCAGAGGGCCAAGGCGCGGCGTGAGAGGCCGCGCCAAAACTCTGCGGGGGGCGCTGGCTTCATCCACCGCATTTTCACATGGAAGCACAGCGCCACCCCCGCCCTCGGCGCCGGGCCACACCAACCTGGACACGTCCGACCCAGGTCGCCGTGGACGCCGCGGCCCTCGACTGGATCGACCTCTGGACCTCCCGCGGCGCCGAGAGCCGCGGCGAGATCGACAGGCCATGGGCACGGGTGGAATTGCCCAACAGCCCGGCCCGCCCCACTCCCGACGAGATTCGAAAGATTTGCCGAGCCTTCCCCGAGCACACGGGAGCGGCGGTGGGCAACTGGCATCCGAGGTGGTGGGGGTCCCTGAGCGACGTGGGCCTCGAACTCCTGGCCGCTCCTGTGGCCTTCGTCTCCCGCGCGGCGCGCTGACCCCCCCAGTTCGGTGCGCCCCATATTTCCTGCTTCCCAAACTGTCGGGGGGTGCGACGCCCGCCGGCCTGCTCACCGCGAGCGCGAGGCTGGTCGAGCGAGCCCACGCGGGCTTCTATTTTGATTGGGGGCGATCGATTCGTCGCGATTGCGATTTCGCTGCCCCCGAGGGCGGCACCGAAGAGGCGATGCGGCAGCAAATGTTAGTTGATGAGGGGGCCCCTCCTGGCGAGACGTCGGGCACGGGAGTTTTGGACCTCCTCAAAGCTTTCGAACATTTCAGCATATACCTCCTGTGGGCCGAGGCGCCCAAGCGCGGATTCCCGCCCCAGCTTCTGAAATTCCTGATCTCTATTTTCACTAGTGAGCGTTTAGTGACCTTTCGGGGAGTTGCCTCTATCCACACTCTGGTCACCATCTTGGCGGCGGTGGCGGGGAGTACCGGGGGGGGGGGGCTCGCTGTCTGAAGCTAGCCATTCTGACGGTCGCGGACTCGTTGTCTCGCGCGTGTCCGACCCTCTTTCTTAAGCTGAATTTTGGCGACCTCAGCCTCTAGGCTAGAGGCTCGGAGGAAGCAGTTTCGGTCCAGCTGCATGATGGTATCACCCAATATGTCGAGGCCATGGGGGCCAGGATAATCCCTGTGTCCAGGACCAGGCCAGGTGGCCCCCCAGGGAAAGGCTTTATCGTGGCGGCCAGCGATTCTCTCAGGGTCCGAATTCGAGGGCGGGCCCAAAGCCTTGGCCTGAACGTCCAGGGCCACAGCTCCCAGCTGGGGGTGGATTCGGCGGGAGGCGCCCCGATCCACGCCAGGCGCAGGTTCGATGAGAGGCTGGCCAGCGCCCGCCGTCGGAAGCTCAAGCTCAGTAGTCTAGCCAAGCAGGGGGCCAGGCCATTTAAGGTCGCTCGAATGGGCTTCATGCCGTCGGTTCTGCGCGGCGCTGCGTGTCTGGGCCGAGACCCCTCTCGAATCGACCAGGCCCGAATCCTCATGGCTGGAGCTATTGGGGGAAACTCGGTCGGTAAGGATCGGGCCCTTCGGCTTCGGGCCCTCCAATGCGACCCCCTGGTGGATGCCTGCACGCGGCCCCTGGTCAAGTGGGCGTCGGCCGCGTGGGAAGGCCGCCGCGAGGTGCTGATGCAGCAGGCCTGGAGGCGGGCCTCGGGCGCGGCCGCGCAGGCGAAGCCTGGCCGCAGCCTCTAGAGAAGTATAAGAGGTCCTGCTTCTGCCGTGCTTGCCACTCTCCGTCGCATGTCGTGGAATGGCTCTCGTTCTCGGTTTTTTCGGGACCACCTGGGGGGCGTTGGGGCCTTCGCCGCGTCGCCCCCACCGGCCTCGAAAATTTGTTTTTTTTTGCCCGGCTTGAGTCCGTCGAGCTTTCGGCCTGGGCCGCCGCCAGAAGCCTTGGGATTGCTCGGCCCTTTCTGGAGCCCGTCAGGGCCCTCCTCCGCCGCAGGGCTAACCGATCGCCGCAGAGGAGACCGGCTATCCTCGCTTACCTCGGGCGCGATTTTTGGGCCTAAGAAAAAATCTGACGGGCGGGCTTTGGGGGCGACAGGTCCTGCCAGGCGCGTGGTTTCGAGGTGTGCTGCCAGCGCCGCCGCACGCGCCGTCGTCCTCGTCAGGAAGCCGCTCGGGCAGAAACGGCCGAGGCGGAGGGTCTCCAAGGGATCGTGCATTGAGCTGAGACCTCCCCCTCGGACCCCCCTCTCTTCTCGCGTGGTATCGTCGAGCACCCCTTGGAAGATCCCTTCCTAGACCGCCCGCCCGCCCAGGAGGAGCTTAACCCCAGTTTTGAAAACCCGCCCCTGGTCAGCGGCTGGGCCTACTCCGACGGCTCGGGCAAGGGCCCGCCAGGGCTCGTGAGTTTTGGTTGGGGTTATGCTTTTTTTTTCTCTGGACCAGGAGGGGGCCGTGGCTCGGGCCATGCATGGCCCCCTCTCTGGGCTCCGATGCGAGGCGTCTGAGATGCATGGTCTGATGAAGACCCTCGAATGCGCCGCCCCTCCCCTCCTAGTCGGCATCGATAACAGCACCGCCATCCGAGGTTTGAGGCGCGGTCGCAAGTGGCGTTGCTCTCCCAAGCGGCCTCGCGCCGATCTCTGGGACCGCGTCTGGTTCCTGCCCCAGGAAGGTTTTCCTGGGAACGGCGATTTTGCCTTTGTAAGTTCGTGCCCACACCCGTGGGCCTCGGGGCGACTCTCATGATGCGGAGCTCGATTTCCAGGGGAACCAGTTAGCTGACGCGGAGGCCAAGGCGGGTGCCGATCTGCAGGCGATTCCCCCGTGGAAGAGCGGCACCTGGACCTCGCGGTCCGATGAGGTGCAGGGGGTGCTCAGTCTGGTGGTGGGGATGGCTGTTCGGACGGGAGGCTTCGAGGATTCCACGGGGAGACCCGCCGCAGGCTCCGTCGGGCCCCGTCAGTGCCGCCAAGGCCCACCAGTGGGGGAGAAAACCCTCGCCCTGGTCTGGTCTCGGGGGACCTGGAGGTGCACGGTCTGCTGTATGCCTTGTCCCCCAAGGCCAAGAAGGCCCTGAGGCGCAAACCGTGTAACGGGAAGGTTCGGGTGGACCGTCGTTTCGTCGTGGAGCGGGGGGAGGGGGAACACCTTATCCCACCAGCCCTGCGCGGTGAGGCCCTCGGCCATGATTTTCACCGCGCGGGCCACTTTACCTTCTGCGATCGGTGCGGTGTCTTTTCGAGCGAGCGAGGACGTGAGTTGGTTCAGATGCATCGCATATGGCCTCAGATGGACCCAAGAAGGCCCCATATTGCCTCATGTCTGCCAAAGACGCCCCTCAGACGCTCCAGTTTGCTTCAAGGGAACCGCCAGGAGCCCCCAGGAGGTCACAAGGTGTTTCACTTGTTGCTGCGTTCTCGCCTGTTTCGGGCTTCCGAAAACCAAGACTCTAAGGGGCCTCCACTACGGCTCACAAATCCCTCGAGGGCCCAAAATGTCCCCAAGACGGCCACACATACCTCTAAGACGGTCCTGAACCCCTGAAACTGGGTTCCACGATGGTTCAGTGAGGTCCCTAAGACGGCCTCCGAAGGACAAGAAGTCCCTTTGAGGCCCCAGAAGAGGCCCCAGAAGGCTACTACTAAGAGGGCCCCAGGAGAAAATAAGGCCGATATAGAGGCTCGTCGAAGGCCCATTCGGAATTCCCCCTCCTTGGGGCAAGGCTCTCTTTCTCACTTAGTATACCGGTTTAGGTTTCTGGCCGCACTGAGGTACATACTTGGTGTTGCTGTCGTCGTGCCTTGACCGCTCCGACAACCACACAACCGAACTGTGTGTGAACAATTTCGGCCGCACAACCGAGTTTCCCCGCTCCCTGCTCAGTTTAACACTCTTGACTTGGCGGTAATCCTTGTAATCCTCTATCAAGACCCTTTTCCCTCTTCATGTCGCCGTTGCCGTCGTGGTTGATGGGCGTGTTTTCCACCACCACAACCATAAGTTGGAGGGGGGGGTCCTCCTCCTCCTCCTCCTCCTCCTCCTCCTGCTCCTGCTCCTCCTCCTCGCGCTTTTCCTCCTTCCCCCCTCCAAGTTATGGTGGTGGTGGTGATGGAAAACAGGCTCATCAGTTGTCGTGGTCGCCCCTATTGTTTCGCCGTCGTCGTCGCCCTCGCAGTGGTTGCCGCCTTTGTTTCGTCGTCGTCGTAGTTGCCGCCGCTGCTTGGCCATCACCGCCGCCGCCGCCGCCGCTATCGCCGCAGCGGCAGCCGTCGACGTCGTCGCCGCCGCGGCCGCCGCCGCTGCCGCCGCCGCCGCATTCGCCGTCGTTTGTCGCGGCCGTCGGCATCCGCCGTCCTCGCCGCCGCCGCGGCCGCGGCCGTGGTGGCCGTCGCCGCCGCGGGCGCCTGCCCGCGGAGACGAGACGGCCAGGTCGTCCAGGCGCGAGGGAGCTGGCCCCTGAGGCGGCGGCCGCCCGCGGGCACGCAGGCAGGGACGGCCGCCGTGTGGCCCTCTCTGGGGCGTGCTGCGCTGCGGCCCCCAGGGCCGCGCCTCTGCTCGTGCGCTGGAGGAGGAGGAGGAGGAGGAGGAGGAGGAGGAGGAGGAGGAGGAGGAGGAGGAGGAGAAGAAGAGAGGAGAATTCCCAGTCCAGGCAGGCCGTTGGGCGCCTTAAAGCCCGTGGAGGAGGAGGAAGAGGAGGAGGAGGAGGAGGAGGAGGAGGAGGAGGAGGAGGAGGAGGAGGAGGAGGAGGAGGAGGAGGGAGAGCTCTCCCTTCGGGCCGTCTTGGGCGCCTCTTGGAGCGCCTTGGGACCCTACTCGGCTGTGCTGGGACCTTCCTGGGGGCCTCTTGGGCTGTCTTGGTGAGACCGTAGTGGTTTCTTGGGCCGCCTAGGACGCTGTTAGGACCCCAGAAGCGCATATACTAGAAATGCATGTATGTTTTTTTCCGACGGGAATGCGGCAATCTGGGCCTTGCGGGGCCCACTCGGGCAGCATCTTGGAGCCCTCTTGGGGCGTCTTCGGGGCCTCTCGGGCCGTCTTAGGGGCAACCTTCGGGCGCCTTCGGTCCTGTTGGGCCGCTCTGGTCGCTTCCTGGTGCCCTGTGAAGAAATTATCAAGCCGCTGGGCCACGGAGGCCCCTGGGGGGGATCCAGATTTTCCGTGCGGAGAGGGACATCCGGGAGGGTGTGCTAGCCCAGGGCCGGGCCCCCCGTACCCCGGCCCATGATGTTCGAATTGTAGTGACCGGGCACGCCGACTTGAAGAAACTCAGGCGGCCGTGGCGAGGAACGACCTGACAGCTGCTTGAGGATGAAACGACGACCAGGAGCATGCGGGAGAAGCAGCAAATGTGGTAAGAGAAATCCAACGGCCCGTCTCCAACCGCCACTGTTCCCTCCTTCTCGGCCTCGTCCTCCATGTCTCTCCGCTTTCTCATGTAGGCCCCCCACCTCTCTCTCACCGCATCTTCCCCTCCTCGGTCGGGTCCTCCTCCCTCTCCTCCTCGTGGCCTCCCCCTCCGCAATCGCGAAGGGGAAAGATGCGGCAGCAGATGACAGAGATGGCCACGAACGAGCGAACGAAGTTTGCCGCGGTGGGCCGCGAGGGCCTGGCAATATTGCACCAGAGCGCCAAAAACAGTGGAGCGATGGAACATACAACAGCACCGTGTGGTACAATACTGGCAAACAGACCAGCAAACAAACCTCTTTGCTAAACAAAAAGGGAGGAGGAGGCGGAGGAGAAGATGAGGAGGAGGAGGAGGAGGAGGAAAGGAGGAGGAGGAGGAGGAGGAGGAGATTGAGGAGGAGGGGGAAGAGGATGAGGAGGAGGAGGAGGGGGAGGGGAAGGGAGGGGGAGGAAGAAATGGCGGGACGGGAAAGCCATTCATCACGGAACGGCTCCTCGTAAGTACTCCAGTCGTTCGTGCACGCTGGGTCCATCATGTCGCTGAGAGTTCTCGTGGCTTCGGAGACTGGAGCTCTGAAGTGTGCAAATTCATATCAATCCATCTTGTTGCTAGCCTTCCCTGTTTTCGATGTGCTCGCACTGAAAATGCGCTCTCTCTCTCTGGTCTCTGTATAAGAATACGGCCTTTGTCCACTCCGTCTCAGGTAGAGGAGCTATGCGGGAAATCTATTTCCAACGCCGGCGCCGGATCTCAGTTACCCAATCATGGCCACGATGACGATAAAACAGGGAGATGACGACAAGGAGAACGCCGACGACAACGGAGCAGACGTTCGCCTGATGGCCTTCGTCATCCCCCTCCTTCTGAAGGACCCCTGAACCTAAACTGCTCCGCACTTCAGCGCCTCGACTGCACACCCCCTTCCTCCTTCTCCTGTCCCCGTGCTGCGCTTCTCCCTTGGGCGGCGATAAATGGGGGGGCAGCCAGGGCTGCCAAAAAGCTCTGCCCTTTAGGGCCCCTCCAGGGGTCCTTTAGGGCCCAGAAGGTGGCCTGCCGGGCCCGACAAGGGCACCTTTCTCCCCCCGCCCCCCCCCAATTACTTCGCGCCCCTCCCCCATCGCCCACTGCTCCTCGGCCCGCCCCCCTCGACCCTCTCCTTGGGGCCGAACGGGCCCGGCAGCAGCAGGAGGGACGCGCACACAGGGTCGGCGGCGAGAGAAGCGGCGGGCCTTCTGAGAAAAGTTCCGAGCCTTCCCCGAAGACACATAGAAAATCTCCCGGGACGCGGGAGCGCTTCTGAGAAGCCCCGACGCCTTCTGAGAAGGCCTTCTCCTGCCTTCTGAGAAAAGATCCGCGCCTTCCCCGAAGACACATGAAAACCTTCCGAAGCGCGGGAGCGCATCCGAGAAGCCCCGCCGCCTTCCGAGAAGGCCTTCTCCCTCCCACGTCCCCCCTGCTGGCCGCCGACAAGGGGGGACGGAGCGGGAAGACCAGGCGCAGCGACAGGCACATACCATGCACATCATATGCCGCCCCTGCGAACGTAAAGCTGTCGTCATCGCGCCTACCGCTGCGCGCTTCAGACCGCGAGGGCTTCCCCCAGGAGCAGGACAGGAGGAGCCCGACAAGGAGGACGACGACCACGACGGCGGCGGCCGCGGCGGCGGCGGACGTCGGCGGCGGCGACTGGCGCACCTTCGCCCAGCGGTCGTCCTCCTCGAGGGGCAGCTCGGAGAGGAGGCCGGCGAGTGCGTCGGCCACCTCGGACTCGTTCTGGTGCAGCTCCAAAGCCTCCGGTGCGTATCTGTTCTGCTTCGTCTCCCTGTCCTTCTCTCTCTATCTCTCCCTTTAGATCACATCCAGCCACACCGTGGCAAGCCTCTATGCTGACATTAATTCAAGCGCTGAACTCTGCCGTGCTTTGCGGTGAAACTCTAGTGGATTAGCCCCGATATCGAACCAGCTGCGTCCTCTCTCTCTATCCCTTCCTCCCTCCATCCTCGTTTTCTTGCTCATCTCTCGTTCTCCTTTTCTAGGAGGGGGCAAACAGGGGAGGAGCCAGAAGGAAGTGGGTGCGAGGCTGGAGCGGGGAGGATCGGGTAGGCCAGGCGGGGATTTGTGAGCTTTCGAGCCCACGATCGCGAGTGCTTCAAGGAGGACGGGCGGGGAGGGAGAGCGGGGGGAGGGAGTGGAAGGAGGAGGAGGAGGAGCAGGAGGAAGAGGAGGAGGAGGACGAGCAGGAGGAGGAGGAGGAG